TATTCCATATCATATGACATCATGCTCAGCCTATAAACTGTGGGAATGGTGCCAGGGGGCACTGGTCAGTGCTTGGAGGAGGGTTGGGCCTTGGTCTGTGGATGGTGGGCAATTGTGTTGTGCATCACCTGCTGTATTCTTGTTATTATTTATTACTATTTAACTTCCGTCCTATTAGACTGTTGTTATGGTTTGTGGGGGCACAGGCTAATTTTATGTTATTGGTACAAGGACCTAGAGAGAAACAGTGCATTGTTCAGGACTTCAAGGGATCCAGTGGGCAGAACAGAGAGGGCTCAGTATTCTCTCCCATTTTCTGCTATACCCTATAAAAGCCAGGAGGGTAGAAAAGTCTATCCCTTCTTCCTTCCTGTCTCTCTTTGCTTGTCTGGAGGACATCTCAGAGAGAGGCTTGTGCTCTTTATTTTAAGCTCACCATGTGCTCTGCAGGATCTGACTCCATTGGAAGAGCCCTAGTCTCTTTTCCCAGGTTGGCTGTGGCACAAGGGACTTCTGAACAATTATATCAGCAGCCATTGAAAATGGATTTTGTATATATTCATATTTTTTTATTATTATCCCATGGTTTGCTGTTTATTCCCTGTTCTGCTAAATCGCTTCAAATTTTGACTTCCAGCCTTAAAGTCTCTCTTCCGTATTTCTCTTATCCTCCCCTGGGAGGATGGAGGGGAGTACTAAAGAGCAATTTATTTCTCTTGTTCTTTGGTTTGCACCGCCCACTAAACAGTGGTAGAACTAATGGCACCCAGTGTGGGGCACGAATTAAAGGAAAAGAAGTATTTTAAAACGGAGGTCTGGAAGGTCAAACAAAATTATTTTCATCATGCTGTCCCTGCATGACTTGTTATATCTCGCCTTTTGGGACTATTGTTTAAGGTTACTGGTTGCAATGCTGTCTTGTCTCCCATCTTTGATATCTTACCATTTATTTTGGATAGTAATTCATGCTGGGATGAGTTGGGTTAAGGATTTGCCTGGGCACTTGGGGTGCTACTTTATGATTCTTGTTATTATGAAAAATCAATCTGCTACTTTCTCTGACAAGTCGCCCTGCCTGAGTCCGGAGACCTCAGGAGGGGCTGTTATTATCTGATACTATTATCGCTTTGACTGAATGTGTTCCAGGGGTGGTTCATTGTTGAAAATTTGCACGGGAACATGGCTGCTTTAACAGCTGCTGCTACCCACCCCACTCTGTTTTGGCACAGGCAGGAATTTCAATGGCAAGAAAAACCACTTTTACTCAATGCAGTCTGGTAATGACCCGAAGAAAACATTTAAGCAAGTCAAAACTGCCTGGTGAGAAGTGGTGTGTCTTGGAGACAGAGATAAACATGGAAAACATGGCTCAAGGGCAGAGTTGGCTCCAGGCAGAAGCAGTACAGGATAGTGACTCAGACTCTGAGATAGCTGCTTGAACCATAGCTCTGAAGGAGTTACAAAATCTAAGAAAGGATTATATTCTTAACGAGGGCGAGCTGCTAACTACATGGCCACTGTGGTGTTGGGACAATGCAGCAGGTACAATAGATCTATCTGAAGGGCAGAGAGGCTCTGCAGTTGGGATTGGTAACCAGAGAGAAATCATTGTCAGAAAAACCAGCACTCAGTCTTTGGAGGAGTTCTTCCAACAGCTGTAAGAAACTGATGTCCCTTTAAGGAGGATTTTGAATGTCACTCTATTAAATAGAACAGCATGGAGAAAGGTATCAAACATCTGAGAGAGCTGGCAGACCAGGAGGCTGATGGATGTGGTGGTGGGCAGCACCTGCAGATATTGATGAACTTCCATGCAGGAGGCCTCCATTAAGAAAGTTCATACCTGGGTGTCCTTCCTACGGGGCCTTTTTTTCCTGTGCTTTATGACAAAGGATTTATGCTCCTTCTCCCACACTTTAGGAGAAAGGATCTTTGGGGAAGATGACAAAACACCAGCAGTTGTCAGTGAATTGCTTAGTAGCTCAGCCAATATGAAGACAGTGTCTCTAACCCCCTACAGGCTTGTGTCTCTGCTGTGGAAAAGATGGCTGAGGACTGCAGAGCCTCTTAGGAGAGGCTGCATGATAAGTCTGACCAAGATGGAGGTGTTAATAACACCTATTCTCCTCCAGAATGGATCCATGTTTCAGGCAATAGGAACAGATGGCTGCCTAGGAGACCAGCTCAAGGCAGGTGCAATTCAACATGAGGTTCTCTGTGGTTTACCCTGCATGGCCATGGCAAAAATGTGAATAGATAGGATGGCAAACCCACTGCTGCTCTGTGTGCAGGAGTACTGGAGCAAGGTAACATCACTAGAAAGAACTAGTGATGTAACATCCAGGAGGATGGCTTCTGGGCTCTACTGACAAAGATCTACTGGCCTGAGCAGGTGGGTCTCCAACCCAAGTATAGTGCAGTGGTGTCTAGGAACTTCAAGATGAACCTGCAGCATGTGGACACGAACCCTGATAAACTCCACATCGTCTCTCCTGCTCTGAGACTGCCATGATGGATGAAAACCTGCAACATGGATTCAATAAACTGCTGTGTAAAGACAAATCACAACCTGATGAATGAGTATGGCAGAAACAAATGGTATGGAATACAGGGTGGAATGTTTGAGGGAGCAGGAACTAATTTTGAGATTGGTGCAATGGCCTCTGATGGCCAAGCTCAGGAGAGATGGAAGACATTACTTTGAACCGTTGGATGTCCAGGAGGCAGAACAGAGAAGGGTTGGATGATCTCAGTATTCCCTCCTATTTTCTGCCATACCCTATAAAAGGACAGAAGGGTGAGAAAGTGGGGCCTTTGCTCCCTTCTCTCTTCTGGCAAACATCTTGGAAGGAGGCTCCTGGCTCTCTGTCTTCAGCTTGCAATGTGTTCTGCAGAATTTTCTGTTGCTCAGAAGAGTCCTGGCCCTTTTTTCCATGTCAGTCCTGCCACAAAGGACCTTTGGACTCTTCTGTTATTTAATAGTACTGAGATTTGTGAGATTGGTACAGGTTTTTGCAGGTAATGAAAATGGCTTTTATAGTAAAATCCATCTGTTTAGGAGCATTCTGTGCAGTCCTTAGCATTGGATTTTCCTTCTTGTCTGTGTTTTTGATGTGCTGTTTCTCAACAGACATGTAGCTGTTTTTCCACCTGTGTTTGTTTCCTTTATGTAGCTGCTTGGCAATGTGGTTAGTTAGCTTCACCTTACTATGGTAGAGCACTCTTGCCCCGCCTGTCCCCCTCTACCCCTGCTGCTGCTGTTGTTACATTATCTGTTAAGCTGTCTGGAGGTGGCAAAAGAATCTCTAATGAGCCTTCCTTTGTTAGGTCAGACTAGGTGGCACTGACTTTTCTGGTCTCACCTCCTGCTGGGCTGTGGCATTGCCGGCAGGCTGGGAGACACCTGGTTTTCAGGGCAATTTGGGGATTGCCAGGGGGGAACCTGATGATGAATAGGGTCCGCAGCCAGTAAGTAGGGTGTCTTGGGCCAGGTAGAATAATGGATGAATGACCACAGGTTAGATCTGGTTTCGTTTATAACAATGGAGCTCCTTGCTGGGTAGATGGTTGGGTTTTCCCTTGGAGTATTGGGTCTGCCAGGAAGCCTACTCCCTTAGCTCAGGATACCACCTAAGGAGACTTCTTGGGGTTGAGTGACCTCATCTTTGGTGAGTGATACATTTATCCTAGATATATCTTTGAGTCTTGTCTCTACTGGACAAGTGATTCTGGTTACCTGAGCGGGGAGGCTTTTCCTTTTCTCTGGGTGCATGTGCACTTGTGGGTTTATTATCATCCATGTTAAGACTAGTCAAAAAAGATTAGAAATTCTTAAGTAGTTGTGGTGGTGTAGTGCATTAATATTCCTGACCAATATCCGAATCTGTGGTAATATTTTTATTTATTGGAGGGCTAAGTAGTGTTGGAATAAATATTAATTCCTGATAAGCTCCTGTGTGTCTTTGGGTCACAAGTTATGAACCTGATTTTACAATTTTAATGATTTTTTTCAATCATTTACAGTTGATGCCTCTCACCCTTTTTCTTCAGCTGCTTGCTATATTTTTATTAATAACTCTTTTAAATCTGATTCAAGGTCCTCATACATTACTAATATACATGTTACAATATTTTAATGCAGTACTGAAGTTTCCATTTAGATTTCTCTACATTGGATTATTGAATGTCTAGCCAGAGAGGCTGGACAAAAGTCATAAATATAAATAAAAAGCAAGTAAATTAGTTTTTCTGCTTAACTAAAGTTTATAGCTTTGTGTATTCCTTAAGCATATGAACTGTGTTCTCTTTGCTGTTGTCACGATTCCTCTAGCATTTAGTGTGTGCACACATTTAAAAAAATTTGGAGTTGTAGTTTAAAAAATATGGTCTAAGACTAGGGAGAAAAAAAAGGAATAAAATGCGTACCAATGGCAGATCTGGTTAGCTGAGGTTGACTAAAAAGTAGATGGAAATTGAAGCATCAACAGCAGAGATGAGGTTATCACCTGAGTTATATTTTACTATTCCAACTGCAGCAAAAAATCCTGGGTTCAGCTGGGGTAGAGTTAGTTTTCTAAAGAAGCTGGGAGGGAACACAGTCAGGATAGCATATTCCATATCATCTGACATGTTCAGTATATAACCTGGGGGAGGGTGCAGGTGGCTATGGGAAGGAGGGATCATAGAGCAGGATGGGCATGGGTCAGTGGGTGGTGGGGAATGACATAATTCAGCACTCGCATCATATATTCTTTTTTAGTAATATTGTTATTTCTGCTCTCCTTGAGTTGTCCTGTTAAGCTATGCTTATCTCAACCCATGAGTTTACCTTTTTCTTTCTGTTCTTCCCCATCCCAGCAGGGGCCAGGGGTAAATGAGTGATGGGCCTTGTGGTGCTTAGATTTTGAAGTGATGAAAATGTAAGTGAATTTTGGGGAAAGAAGTGTTTCATAAATCAGTGCATTTGTTTGATTAATTTTTAAAAATTTATTTTAATTAGCATGGATCCCATGGAACATGCACAGCTTATGAAACAAGCTGGGAACCAGGATTTTAAAAATGGAAATTACTCTTTGGCCATCAGAAAGTATGATCAAGCTCTACATGCCCTCAGTTATTTGGTGCAGTGGTTCCCGTAAGTATTCCTGAGTTACAAGATGTAAACTGTAAGATTGTAAGGCTTGTACAGTACTACAGTTAACTCAGAACTGTATTTCTTGCCCTGACATCTGATTTTCTGTATCTTTTGTCATGTTCTTTAGTGTACCAATTTTATAATTAAAGAGGAATTGCTGTTCCTGACGTATATGTGGGAGATTAGTTAGTGACTGTAATCTGAATATTTTTAGCTAAGCATCAATTATAAATTAATGTAATTAAAGCTCAAATTAATTTTGCATAAACCATGTCGGTTTCTGTTAAATTACTTCTGTTTCTTAACTGATGTCCTGTGGATTAAACTTTCTGTGGTTCTGCCAGGTATGGGCTGTGTCTGTGGCCTGTTGTCACATGGGTTATCTGATTAAAATTATTCATGCAAGTTACTTTGTTCTTGTTATTTGTTTAAAAATGTTTCTTTTAGGAGAAGAGTTCTTTGGGTATTTCTTTCCAAATGTTAAGTGCTTATTTTCATCAGTTAATGTCAGTTGCTTACTAATTATGAAATATCTTAGTGTTGTGCTAACTATTAAATACTCATTACTGCCATGTATTAGCACTGCTGTTAACCCAGTTTAACACAAATCATTCATTTATTTTGCCTACTAGCCATGTAGACTAAGTAGTAAAATAAGTCTGGAGCACATGCAGGGAGCAGGACCAAGAGAGGACAGAGCTGAGACTACTGTGGTGCCTGCCCCTCACAGGCAGTGTGGCTTTGTCATGCTGCAGGGATCTGCTCCTCGTTGTCTCCTTTCCTCTTGCCACAGGTTGTCTTGTCAGGATTTGCTTGTATGCAAGAGTATGCTCTGAACACATTCAGAGTAGTTGAAACAACTTTCTTGAGTGTTAATTAGCAGATAGGAATAAGGTGAAGGATGCAGCACCACTGCATACTGTTTCTTTGTGGGCAAACAGGACAGGCTTTCCAGGCTCCCCAGTACCCTGTGCACTGTAATTTGTGTGCATCTCTTCCCAGAAACTCTCTTGGATCCAGCAGATGCTTTGTATACTTTAGCATGTTCTTTTCTCTAAATACTTTATTTCTTAGCTGGTGTAAATGTGGATAATTCTGTTGACATAATCCACTGGTGATGCAGTAAAATGTATTTAGGTTTTTTTAGGGGGGTGGCTTTCTGCTTCAGAAGAGACCAAGATACCACTCAGAGTATCACTCAGGTATCACTTAGGATGTCACTAAGAGATTTTAGAGCTGGTGTTCAAATCTTTATTTTCTACAACTCCATTTTTTACCTCTAATTTTGTTACATGAGTGATATATGGACTATTTTCTCTTGTTGCTAACTATAAAGTATGGTGCATTCTTTTTCAAGCAAATAAACAGATATGCTAAAAATGTGTTTCCAGGTGTTCCAGGGACATAGCTGTGTTACACTGCAACAAATCAACGGCCTTGTACAATCTTGGAAAATGGCCAGAAGCTGTCTTTTCAGCCCAGCAGAGCTTACGCTGGGATCCGGAGTATGTGAAGGTATTCAGCTGTTTAAGCTGGTAGTTTTTGCATGCCTTACTTGTTAAAACAAGTGTCAGTGTCTGCTTTTTATTGTGTTTTGGTTTTGAGGTGTGATAAGCAAATACAGCGTGAAATCCTGGAACTGATGTCTGACTCTGTTATATGAACTTCAGAGTTACTGCTGTAATAGTACATTTAATAAAATTAAGCAGCTGTCTTTTGCACCAAAACATCTGGTTCTTACTGGTGCCTTTCTTGTTGAGACCCAATGCTTTAATGAAAGATAACTATTTTATTGATAACTCAGACAAGGTGATAGCAAGCACTAAAATCTTATGTGCCCCAGTGGTGCTGGAGGCAGGAAGATGATGCAGCACCAGCCAGGCTGCTGGTCAGGCCATGGCATGCTATGCAGATCATGTTCATGGTGAGGTTCACCAGCTCTGTGTTTGCTTTGAGGTCCTTCAGAGCTTGGCTCATGATACAGATTCATCAGTTGCTGGCAGCTGTCAGGTCTGGGATTGGGACTTAGCTTTGAAGGCTCCTTGGGCAGTGTGCCCTACTATTCTTTACACGTTTAATAAGCCTACATTTCCTGGGAATGATATGTGGTGATCAAGGTCATATTGTATTTCCAGTGGACAGAACAGTACACTTAGATGTAATCACTGTGTAATTAATCAGAAGCATAAGTACCCATTGACTCGAGTTCTCATTTGTTAGGAGTAAGTAGCAGTTGTACAGTTTTTATTATATGGAGCCCTGCACTTGGATTGGCTTTTATGTGCAATAAATAGTCTTCTGGACTAACCACTGCAGACTCCCAGAGACTTTAGTAGAACACATTTGATTTAGATGCGGTGAAGTTGCTTGCAAATATCACTTCACTTTGTAATGTATTGCAGCCTTCTGGTTACCTGGATTGAACAAATTGACTCCACTGTGACTGAGCCAGTACAACATAGTTCAGTGGTGAATGTAAACATGTTCAGGTGCTGCTGACTGAAGAATATATGTATTATGGCAAATACCCAAAGTGCAGTGACATGGGGACATAAGCATATATTCTGGACTCTGTGACAAAAATCCTGTCCAGGGAGGGATAAAATATAGTTGCTAACAGTATGTCTTTCATCCTGTAGTTATTTTCCAAGTTTTGTATTCCAAGATTTATCACTCTGTGATGACATCAGTAGTATACTGTGAATTTCAAGGGATGTTTATTGCACTTTCTTTGGACCTGTAAGAAGCTGTAAAAAATTGTACTGCATGTCATTTTTATAGCATAATCAGGTGTGTATTAAAAAAAAATAATGATTTTTGTAGTAAAGTTTTCCCAACAATGGTCTTCTTTTGTTCTTTTTTTTTTTCTCAGGCTTATTATAGAGCTGGCCACTCATTCATCATGTTATCAGACACTTACCAGGCAATTGCCATGTTTCATAAAGGTTTGATTCTCCTGAATGCTTCTGCAGATAGAACTCAAGTTGCTGATTTTGTAGCAGGAATCTTCATAAGTGTCAATGGTAAACTCGAATTTAGAGCTCAATTTTTCTAAGACCCTTTCAGTAGTGATGACAACACAAATCCTTGGTGCAGTGTCCTTTCTGAGATCATTCATTTGATCCTTAGTACCCCAGGGCTCTGAGGATTATGTTGAGTGGCCATATGAAAAACTTGTAGTGAACCTGGGCCAGTTTTGCCAACAATGCCAAATTGCTGCGTAAGGGAGTGTGTTGTCTCACAAAAACATGTCAATTGTGAAATAGTTAGACAAGTTCAAAGTTCCAAGTCAGACTAAGTTGGAGTGGAGTTCTGGTGCTCCAGACCCATAAGGCTTTAGTAGTTTTTATCCAAACCACCGGGTTTTTTTTGGCTGGATAGATTTGTAAATAATTAGAAAATACTCAGCTTAAGCTTCATTTTACGAGTGCAGTGTGGGGGACTTACCCTCAGGTAATAATGGGCAGCATTGAAAGAGGGAATTTGGCCTTTCTGTGGACTTGTGTGGGGTTTTTTGAGACATGTCCACCCTGTAGTCTCTCTGCCCTCTACTCCTTCTCTGGTTTTGTTTCCCCTTCACAGGCGTGCCAGGAGATTTTGGTTTGTGCCCCTGCTGCATTTACTTGAACTTGTAGACCTGTGTTAGGCACAATGATTAGTTTTAGCAGCATTTGTAGCTGGGCTCCCCCACAAGTGAATGAACCGCCACGAGGTTCACAATGTCTTGGCACTTAGAAGTGTTTCTTCAGGGCAGGAATTAATTTCCCACCCCCCCTTTATTAGTAAAGACTAGTTGCTGATCATGAGGTGTTGTATCGATTGGGTGGCCAGGGATATTTAAGCCCCTGTTTGGCAGTCTCCTGCGTATTAAAGCTGAAATCGTTACTGTGCAATGAAGTAACTTAGTTAAGACCCCAACTTTAGAAGTGCTGGGTATACTAAATGGCTTTCCCGATTGCTTATTCTTGCAGATGAGCAAGTCTTCCCACCCACTTTTCCCCCTGCCTATGACTATATTTTCAGCGCAAGGTTCGATGCGCTGATCTGGCAAGCGGTGATAGAAAGGCTGGCCCAAAAAGGGATGTGGCGGGTAAGTCTGTCGCTGTGTCACCTGCTGCTTGGGTAACCTCATGTTATCTTTAAAATCCAAAGCCGTGGCTATTGCTTGTCCCCTGCTTCAAACGTCTTGAATTTAAGGCTTGAAAAATATTTTTAGTAATAAATCATCTCTGAAATTTATTTCCCAAAGGGATGTGATGAGCTTGAAATCCCATTTGTCTCTTGCTGTTGTCTCTGTTACAGTTATGGTGCCATCTGATGTAATTTTTCTTGAATTAAATTAGAGGAGGGAAAAAATGTTTGTGGTCCCTTTTCCTTTTATATGAAAAGCTGGATTTTTGAAGCTGTCTGTGAAAGATCCACCAGTAAAGGAGCATCTCAGTGGACATACATGGCTATTAAATGAAACTGTATCATTTAGAAAAATCGGAAGGTGAATTTGAACACTTTTCTGTGGTGACTGTAAAAAACATGTATCATTGTCATGATTACTTGGGTGTTAGTGGTGAGGCACTGACTGCGGGGGCTGCAGGAGCCCCTGTGAGGAGAGGCCAGGGCTGCCTTGTACCAGATGTGGCTAGTTCCAGCCAGATCCAGCAAACCTACCACAGGGCACAGCCCCTCAGATGAGAGATGATGGCATCTCTCAGAAAGCATGTTTTAAAAAGGGCAGAAAGCTGCTGGGCACAGTGAAGGGGGGAAAAATGTGAGAAATGGTCAAGCCCCAGGGTTGGAGGAGAGGAGGGAGGATGAGGAGTTTCTCAGGGCTTGGAGCAGGGTTTTCCTTGTGGCTTGCAGAGAGACCATGCAGGAGAAGATTCCTGACAGCAGCCACAGCCCATGGAGAACCTACACTGGAGCAGGAGAGAATTGTAAGGAAGAAGGAGCAACGGAGAGACTGCTGTGGGCTGATTAGAGCCCCACAATCCCCATCCAACCCTGCTGCTGTGAGCATGGGCATCCTTCATTAGATCAGGTTGCTTAAGCCCCATCCAGGCTGGCCATGAACAGTTCCAATAATGGAGCATCTGCATCTCTCACAACCAGTTCCAGTGTATCAGCACATGTATTGTAATACATTTCTTCCTTGAGTCTAATTTAAACCTACCCTATTTCAGGTTAAAACTGTTGCCCCTTGTCCTGTCAATACAAGCCTTGTTAAAAAGTCTCTCTTGCAAGCCCCCTTTATATACTGAAAGGCTGCAGTGAGGTCTCCCTGGAGCCTTTTCTTCTCAGGTTGAACGACAAAAATCTCTCAGCCTGTCCTCACAGGAGAGGTGCTCCAGCCCTCTGATCATTTTCATGGTCCTCCTCTACACCTGCTCCAACAGGTCCATGTCCTTCTTGTGCTGGGAACCCCAGAACTGGATGCAGTACTCCAAGTGAGGTCTCATGAGAGTGGAGTAGAGGGGGAGAATTGTTTCCCTTGACTTGCTGGTTGCACTACTTTTTAGACAGCCTAGAGTGTGACTGGCTTTCTGGGCTAAAAGTACACATTGCTAGCTCATGGTCAATTTTTTTTGTCCACCAGGAGCCCCAAGTCATTCTCCCCAGGTCTGCTCTCAATCCCATAATCACCTAGTCTATATTGAATACTAGAGATTGGCCTGGCCTAGGTGCAGGACCTTACTTACCCTTGATCTTGTTGGTCTATGTGAGGTTTTCATGGGCTCATTCCTTAAGCCTGTCAAAAGTGCCTTCTGGATGGCATCCCTTTCCTCATGCATGTAAACTGTCACTCAGCTTGGTGCCACCTGCAGACTTGCTGAGTGATTGAGTGCACCATGAGTTCCCGTTGTCTATGACATTGATTAATATATTAAATAGCATTAGTCCCAGTGCAAACCCTTGAGGGTCACCACTTGTTACTGTTTTCCACACTAACTCCTTGGATGCAGCCATCCAGCCATTTTCTTACCCATTCAACAGTCTATTCATCAAACCCATATCTCTCTATTTTAGATCTAAAAATGTTGAGGGGAACTGTATAGAAGTCCACATAGATGGCATCTGTAGTGTTTCTCTTGTACTCTAGTGAATCTAGATGGGTTTTCAAAGAACAATGCAAAGTTTTTAGGGAAACAGAAAATAGAAGAATATACAGTATGTATTTCCTGCTTTCTGCTCAGGATGTTGGTGTAGCTGGGAAGTTTCATCCACATGAAGGTAAAGGTCCATTCCTAAAGTGAAGGGTTACTTCCAGAGTGTGTTGGAGAGACTTTTAAGGCCTGACCTTCCTACATGGTTTTGGTTTCTGAGGAAACTTTCATCAGTCATAGCTTCCCACAGTATATTGTATATTACATTAATTCAATTAAAAAATGGAAAGGGAGATTCAGTAATCTGCTATGATCTTAAGAAAATAACTGAAATGTAATTAGCCCTTGTTTGCTTTCATACAAGATCTGATGAAGCAGTGAAAAACAGTTTTGAACTGTACTTATAAGACCACTAAAGTTGCTGGTTTTTTTCTTTTGAACTGTACTTATAAGACCACTAAAGTTGGTTTTTTTCCGCAGTCATGTCTGTTGTTGTTGTCTGAGAAGAAAGAGTTACCCACCAATCTCAGAGTCAGCCAGTTATCACTGAAGAATCTCTTTGAGGTAAAGAAGCATCGTTTTTTTTTAAATTAAAATCTGTTTCTTTTTTTCTTGTTCATTTTTGTGAGAGATTTTCCATCTTGTGTGCAAGGCTAAAACATCACAGAAAAATAAAATTTAAAAGAATACTTGGACCTTGTATGATTGTGTTAAATCATCCATTTTGTTCCTTTTAATTTGAAAAGTAGAAAGTCCGTAATTTGCATGTGTGTAATACTTCCTTTAATCTGACCAAAAAAAGACATCTTCCTCTCAAGTACAGCAAGCTATTAACATCATGCTTGTAACCTGCCAGTTTAGTGCTGAAAAATGTCTGAAGGTTGGTTATGTTTTCTGACCAAGATTATGGCACACATGGGATATGGTATTTTTATACCTTGCTAGGCTGTCTCTGGATTGCTTCATAGTGCTGAGTATGATTACAGGGAATTGAGTTGGGTGCAGTGCTGGAATTTTCCCTTCCTTCAATGCCCCTAATTTTTGGTAGGTTATTTTATACCTAGGCAGCAATTGCTAAACGTTCTCCCTAAAGGCTCTGATACTTTCCAAATGACTTGGAGGATTCTGGCAAGATGAAAACATGTAGTCATAGACCAAGCAGCCATAGTTCTTAAAGCCTTTCACTGAGATGATAGCATCTGCAGACAGCAGAATTTGATCTTTTATGTTGCTCTTCTGAAACTTGCTCTTTTCTTTATCCTGTGCTTCTTCATGTTCTGCAGCATATGGGAACCTCTGAAGCTTTCTGTGCTGGCAGGATATAATAAAAACTTCCAGCTGTCAGAACCTACTATGCACACACAGACTCTGCTGCTGGTTGGTCTGCCTGGTGCATGTGCCATGCCTTGCACACTACTACACCACAGAGGCCCATGTTTCTGTGTGAGCTAGATGGCCTTGTAGGGCTCACTGCTGCTTACTTTGTGCATGGATGTCCTACCAGAATGCTTGGAATGCTTAAAGGGGTGTACAACCATTGCTTCTGGCCCCTTGGGAGCCTAGGTGTAGCCATAGGCCTAGTGTGAGCCAGGAGATACAGGGAGTTCACCATCTCTGCCACTCAGGAACAGCTGGTGTCCCCAGCAGTAACATACCAGCTTTCTGAAGGCATCTGACAGTGTATGGGGGTTATCATGCTGCAAATGCCCAGCTTGCTTCAATTGCAGTTACATGAAACGCTTCTTATAGACCACGAAAAAATTCTTCTCTGGCTGCATTTTTTTAGTTTTCTTCCATGTCTTTGTTCTGCTGTATGAGATCTACTTTTAAAAGATACGGTTACGTGTTCATTGAGAAATTCAATTAGGCTTTATGCTGAAGTATACCAAATTTCTTACAGCACTGTGGTTTTCCTGATGGAAGCTTTAGGATATGTACTGTGTAGGCTACACAGTACATTTGCTTGGCATTTACTGGCTGGCAGATGAGCAGTTTAGGGCATATTGATGGACTATAGCAGAATTTGCCATCGCTGTTACAGTGCTTGTTGTGCTTTTGCCATAATAATTTCAAGTTGGGCCTCTTTCTATACATGTATTTCAGTGAGGTTCCTGACAGAGTGAGTGGGAGGAATTCTGAAGACGAAGGGGATAAGCTTTATTTATAGGGATAGCAGAAGAATGAGTGGATAAGTATACACAGGCATGCCTTGGTTAGCTGTGGTTAAGCAGTTGTGCTGTGTTAGTGCCATGGGATAGCCTGTGTGGGGCTTTATGCAGTCTGCCATCGTCCCCTGTGTTTGTTCAGTTTTTTGGGGGAGGGAGGGTTGTTCAGGGTTTGGTCTTTGGTGAGCCAAGCCCATGGCCAGTTAGCAGCAGGGTTGTGGTGCTAGAGCAGTGTAGCTGCAGCATGGACAAAGCCCGAGAGCCTTGGATTACAGCAGCTTCCAAGCAAAGGTGACCACTGCTGTGGTTGGCAGCTCCTAGCAGCACCCTAGCCCAGGGAGCAGCAGCAAAGCTGTCCTGCGAGGGATGAATGTGCTTCTTGCAGTGGCAGTAAAGCATGGCAGTGCAACAGAGAACATCTGTAGAGTGTCTTAGCAAAAAACCTTTCTTCCTAGGGAAGCAAATAAAAATGCCTCATGGAGAGAGGAGGATAAAAGTGGGTTGCCTTTGTAAAATGGTGTGTCCTTTGTTGCTGAATTGGCTTTAACTGTCTTAGCCATTCTAGCAGCTTCTTTATACATGAGCAAGACTGAAGGAATCAAGATGAAAGATCCCTAAGCACTGCTGCTTTTTTGCAAACAAAAAACGTAGCTTTCTGGCAGCTCAGGCTTCCCCTGCTGCCACTATTTAATTATATAATTTGTTGTATTTTGATTTTGTAACTGTGCACAAACAGTAATTCTTGACAGTCAAAATTCGGCATGAGGTGTTAGAAAAAAAGTTTTATTTGTGGATGTTGGAAGCATGTGTGAAGACTGATTATTTAAAAAGATGACTGGCACAAATGGAGAAGTTATGTCTGAATGCTGTTTTCAAGCACCCCCTCATGTCCTGATCCTTCAAGCATAATATATCTCAATTTGCATCTGAGCTTCCTCTGCCCACTTCCGAAGTTTCCCATATTGCTGTACCCCTTGTGCTTCATGTTCATTAAGTCCTTGCCAGAACATCCTTATTAGGTTCAGCTGCCTTCTGCTTAGGCTGTGTAATTTCAATCTCAGTCTGTCAACTTCCCTGTAAATTCCATACTTGCATCAGATCACCTTCTGCTTTGTCTGGCCAAAAATCTGTCTCCTAAGGTGTAACACCTTTTCTTTGTGTGAGCAGTCACATCATTGTTGTTCTCTTAATAATGCCAGGTGCTTCCTGAGCTGCATGAGAGTAGGGCTTTGCCCTGCTTTCCATCCATGTGTTTCCTGAGCTGTAAAAGAACTGGTTACCTGAGTTCCGTAAACCTCTTTCCTCTGCTCTCTAAGTCCCTTTTCCAAATTTCAAGTATTTCTCCAGACTTCTCTTGCTTTGGGGTAACTGCCTGTGCAAGCTGCCTCATCCAAGCTTAAAGGGCACAGTATTTGGTTACAGCAATATTGGCACTGAGATACAGTAACATTTAATAGACAAGTGTAAGGCAGCAAGTTGCAGTCAGATACAAAGAAGAAATGTAGAAATATGTATTAAAAATATACTTTGGGTTCTTGAGAACAGGACAAGATTCTTTTAAGATGCATGAACCTCTCTTAGAAGAAAAGTGTTTGGTTTGAGCTTCCACTGAAATTGTTCAATGTGTAATAAATGTTTCATTTTACAATGGGTAGGGTTTGATCACTATTGTCCCACTGATTCTTGTCATAAAAATAATGGAAATAGGATTCAAGAAACTTGCCTTTCATACATCTAACATAATGTATTGTAATTGTTTTCTTTGTTATCAGACTTCTGAGTGGTATGGGCATGGTGAGAAGATGCAAGAAGTAGCAGACTTAGCCAAGTGGCTAATTTCCATTGGGGCAAAAGTTGAAACCATTGGAGTTTATCTGCTTCATGCTGTTATCAAACTGTGTATCAGAGCAAGTGAGTGGCATCAGCAGGTGAAATATAACAGTGGTGGTCTTTATCAGAGAACTGACAGCTACAGCTTTTTCTACCTTTGTGTTTTGTTTTGTGGTTGGTTGTTTTTTTTTTTAAACTAATGAGATGAGATTATCTAGGTATAATCTTGCATGTCAAACAAGGCAATATTTTGAAAATGGTATAGACTCTCTGATCGTCTGTGCTTCATAGTGGTAGAAACCTAATATGATTGTTCTGTTCTGTGGTTTGAAGTGTGATTGACGAGAGTCTTTCAGAACTGAATGTATCAGCTTTGACAAAAATACAGTATTTCTTCTTTTCACCTTAGTGTGGAGCTGCAGTTTCTATATGTGCTGAAGAGTTGAGAGTCAACCTCAGAATTGCAGTTGCAGCAAGTCAGTGAGAATGTAGTGTCATGTCTCCCACAATGCCACAGTGACTCTTACCATAACTCCTTTTGTGTTTTCTTCCTTCTGCTCTCTGTATTTGAGAAAAGGCTTCTTACAGATACTTCTTGCCACTTTTTAGGGGGGAAAAAGGCAGGATCTGTCTCTGCTGTGTTTACCATTTGTAATAAGTGTTTATTTTATCATTTCAGGAAGGAACCATTTCTTCAGGTGGTTACTAACTCGGAGGCCAGACTTGAAGGATAGGCTCAACCAGCAGGACAGAGATGGATGCACGCTCCTGCATGTTGTGGCATCTTCCAATGAGTATTCCCAGAAACGCAGTAAATACAATTCTTTTTTTGTGTGTGTGGAGTTGATTTTTCTTTAATATGGGAAAATGAGTAGTGGAAGAAAATTTCAGATCCTGTTTCATGCTAAGGAAGAAAATAAAGGCCTTTTATCTGAATGTAGGCGTCATAATGGTAACTAGGATTTAAAAGCTTCAACAATTCCTGCTAAAAATGGTATACCTCATTTGTGACCATTTTCTTTGCTCTTTGGTTTGACTAGTATGCTGCAGGGTTGTTTGTTTTTTTTCAATCATAGAAGTTTGATGTGCTTTTAAAGTTTGTGCCCTTAAAATCACGTTAGACCACTTGGAGACCTGTCCTCTCCTTTTAAATAGGTGAAGATTTGAAATGTGAGTTGCGGTGCGCTATGTCAGAGGAGGAAAATTAAATGCTTTCCTTTATCTTTTCTGTGGGATTTTTCATTTTATGTTACGACTTAGCCTGGCTTCTTGTATTTCTTACTCTCCCCACTAGGTGGCAACAGGAAATAAGCATGAATGCCAAGATAACACCAGACTTTTAGCTAATTAAATGCGACGACGTTCTAGTGGCTCTTGTTAATAGTATGAATGAAATTTGCACAACGTAGCTAAATAATTTCATTTTCTGGAAAGGTGAACCAAGTCTTTTGCAGCATTTCCATCTGTTGCTAAATGAGATAGGCATTTCCAGAAGAGACTGCGTTGTGTGTGTGTATATATATATAAACACACGTGTGTGTATAAAAGTTTATAATTTTATTTATATAGTGTATGTATATATAAGAGAGAGCATATGATTTTATATTTAGCTATTCAAATGTATTTCTTTATATTGTATAGGCATTATATAAATACTTATTAAAGTTTATTTCTTTATATAGTATAGATATTATATAGAGAGTATATGTCTAAACATATATATAAAAATATGCACCCATATGTTTACAAAAATAATCCCTAAAATAGCTTGAATGGGAAGGCTTAGACAGACAAAGCAAGACATTTGTGCTAGCCTGCACAATTTTTTGTTCATTTAGGTTTTGTCTTTGCTATGTGCCGTAACAGAGGCTGTGGTAATGTTTCTATGGGATGTGTGGTGGTCTAACACTTAATTGCTCACCATTGCTCAGTGCTGTCCTGTGTGACATGGAATTTCTGCACTTGCCCAGCTATCCTGAGGGCATGGCTTCTAGCAAATGTGCCTCTTTTAGGCAAAAGAAATACAAGCAGCTACTTGTAGGTCTGTAAAGTTTCCCCTGGTGGCATACTAAGAAGAGAGCATGTTAACTTCCAGAATATTAGATATTGTGTCAAGGTTGTAAGTCACCATTATACTTACTGTGTTTACATGTGATCTGCAATGCTTGTTGTGAAATGCTATAGAGGATAGCAGTTTTTGTTGAAAGCAATGGTTAGTCAAACTAGATGTCCTTGTTGTAACCCTTATTACCAAGAAAATAATGTGGCTTGTGTTGCATAGGAAAGAAGCTCAGTGCCTGGCTGTGTATATTCATGCCCAAATATGTAAAATAGTCTGGTTTATTGAGTCACTGTCCAAACAGTAGCAAAATTCCTAGTTTTGTTTGTTTTCCTAGAGTCTGGAGAGCAGGGTTGGGGCATAAGGAAGGAGGTGAATTCAACATACTGCCTCTGGCCAGTGAGCTGCTCATGAGGCACCATGTCACTTTGTGTTTCTCTACTCCTGTTTCCCAGTGAATAATAATGAAGATAGATTTATTTTTTTAAATATATTAAAATTAAGCTAGAAATACTGCCAGGAAATTAAAAATAGAAAGCAAAACCAAAACTCTGAACACTGAGGATTATTCTTCCTCTAATGTTTATTCATGTGATGTTTTAGGCCAAACAGAAGATGTGATCATGCTCCTGAATTATGGGGTTGACCCCACTGTTCCAGATGCACGGTCAAGATATGTCATAGATATCTTGAAAAAGAACAAAAACTTTGGTGCAGTAAAAGCAGTCAGCAGTCACCTCGAGAAGCAGACTTCCTCTGTGAAACAGACAGGTATTACATGGACTGATACTTCTCTTTTAAAGTAGTATCCTTTAGATACAAAATTGTTTGTAATTGGTAATAGTGGGTGGGTTTTATGTAACTCTTCCTATGAATTGTCACTCTGATCTCCTATCAGTGGATGATGAATGTTTTGTGCTTGCCTGAAGGTGACTGCTGTCCAAGTGATGCTCTTAGTGTATCAGGCAATAAGTAACTTCAGGTGGTGGTTTTTTTTTCCTTATCCTTACCATGAGGCTTCCCCTGACACATAAACTGCTTATCTTTATGCTTTTTCAGTTTTAACCTTTTACCTTCACTTTAGTTTTTGGAAAATGAAACATTTTTTTAAAGTAGCAGAGCAGACTAAAACTATAAGAGCCTCTCATAACCAAAACAGGGGAGCTAAAATTTTGTTACACTCTTGAAGTATGGGGAGACTGCAAAATGGTTTCTAAAAATGTGTAATGATATTTCTAGGTGGTTTTTGAATGATCTGTTGTCATACAGGAGGACACAAATCCTAATTGACCCAATGCTGATATGAAGTGTCATGAAGTGGTGTGATAAACTGGTTTCCAGTCTGCTTTTTTATAATAGCCTGTCAGTTTTGAAAAGGATTTTGACTTGTCTGTTTTTTTAAATAATTTGCCATTCTGGAAACTAATGTATCAAGTGATTGTCCAAGTCATGGGGATTTCCTTCTCCATGCCAATAGATAAGGATGCGAATACATACAAACTGTACAATACCACCCCAGTGATGACTGTGTTGAGACTGGCTAACCCTGATATGGTTTCTAATCTGCACTAACAAATAGAGCAAGCCTAAGCTGCCTGTACTGCAGTATGGTCACAGAAATTCTAGTTGGGACAGGAGATGGGGAGCTGTCTACCCTCAGGACTGGAGGGTCCCTGCAGAGTGCACCTTCTTGGCAGCATGGCACTACAGCTTGGTTGCTACTTACATCCTAGCTCTGAAAGAAACTAGTGCGCCAAAGACATTTCGAGCAGAGGATCCAGTCGTAGGAGGCCATTTGGAGAAGCTGCTGTGAATATCCATGAGAACTGTTGGATTAGCTGGTTAGGCAAGGTGTTCCTGAGATTCAGGTACTGAGCTTTTTTTAGATCTTCCAGCAGATCTTTTCAAGCCATGGTTTAGATTGCTGTTTAAATAAGTCCCAGATATGGACACTGTTAATCTTGAAAGCACTTCTTTAGTACAGTCTTTCTGAGATGGCTTGGTGTGTGATCTGCTTGTTTTCCTTGGCACTAACCAACCAGGACTTTTAGGGCAACACTTGTATTACCATCATTACTGTATTAGCCCAAAGCATAACCTTTTAAAATGTGAAGTTGCTTGTGTTATGCAGATCTCAAAGCACAGATGGAGAAAAAGACTGCACAGGCAAATGAAACTTGGCAAAAAGTGAAGTTTTTAGGCTACATCCCTGGTTTCATGTTTGTATTGCATACAAGTTTGCTGGAAAACACCAGGTTTCATTGAACTTTGATCTTGTGGCTTCTGACAAGCAGATTCTCACAGGTCCTCTTCCTTTACTGTAGAAATCTCCTGCCCTGTTCTGCAGAAGGTCTTAGCCCAGTGGTTCTCAGGAGGTTAACACCACTCCCTCAGTGGTGGTGGTAATTGCTTTGGTTGGTTTTCCAGGTAGCTCAGTCTGTCTTTTGTGGTAATGGTGGTGTTGTTGTTGTTGCGAATGCACAGCCCCCAAGAGCTTTCTAGGCTTAGTGTAAAATGAAAGGACTGGAGAATAAGCCACTGCATTACAGATAACAGTCTGAGGTTAATCCTCGTTGCTAAAAAGATGACTGGTCTTATCTGTCTTTTTGTCTGAAGGGCTAAAGCTATTTTGTTGTGTCTTTGATGTTCTTCAATTCCTCTAAAGCTTTTAAGAAAGTCAGGCTTAAGTCTTCCAGTTTTTATTTAAGGGCATTTATTAGGACATAATTAAAAACCTGCCAGTGCTCTTTACCTAAGTATCTCTTAAACTTGTTGGCATGATTTTGGTGTGGTGGGTTGTTTTTTTTTATTGTTTTGCTTTGATTTCTTTTAAGAGGATAAATTTATTTTATGGCTGTATTTCTGAAATGCCACTGAAGAGTCATACAAGCTCAAGGCACATGATTAAAGCTTTGCTGAAAACATTAGTGGCTTACTCTAAAAACTCTGAATAGTGATACCACTGCAAGACAGCAGTATCCTGCTTCCATGCAATCAACTTGTGAACTATTACAATTTTTGACCTAGTGTACTATGGTAAAGAGTGTATCAAATATCCTTTGGGATATGAAGTCTGTCACAGGATTGGCTTTGGCAGTAGGAGTTTCAACCATCTGATTTTAACCTGCCACTACACATTTCTCAGAGATGTAATGTATTACAGTCCTGTCCTGAAAACAGGCCAGCAAGGAACTGACTGGGCTTTCAACATCTGTGATGTTTTTCAGGGGCAAATGAAAGCAGAGCCGTAAGTGATACAACAGATTCCTTGCTGGATGTTCTTGAACAGTTTGTCCGGTTCTACAAATCTGAAAAGGGAGCACATCATAAAAATGTATTGAAGGAAGATGCAGTTAAACAATTTCTGAAATTGCTGTCTTCAATGAAAGGTACAGAAAGTTCCCATTTCTCTACTTCACCAAACTTACTTGCTGTGAAAAATGTGTTTGATGTCAACATACAGTTTTTGCTCTTACCCTTCCCTTCCCTTTTCCTGCAACTGATATTAATGGAACAATGTGCTTTTACTTATTTTTGCTGTTGTGTTTTGCACTTAGAACCACCGGAATAGGCACAAAATTTCAGTGCGATGAATCAAAACGTTTAAACTTGGCTGTCAGCATCTGGATAAAAAGATTGCTGTTCTGTACTTTCAATTAAATGAATTCTGAAATTAGTTTATGAAATTGGTTTTTATTATGTGCTTTGAGTGAGTTATGTTGTCTTGACTGTCTTGCAGAAATCCCTGAAGGGGTGGTTTGCAACATCCCTCAAGCCTGTGCTAACAGCTTTATAAAACAGTTGCTGGAGAAGCAAATGTGGCATCAAGTTTTGCTGCTGCTAACAGGGAAAGCCAGTGGGGAAGAGCCATCAGGTGTAGGACTCTTCAAAAACTGCAGTCTTTCAGATGTTGACATTGGCAACGTTATCCAACAGTGCGATGGATCGGATAAGCAAGTCCACCTCATAAGATGCTTGCTCGAACGAGGAGGTGAAAAACTGCACAATGTTAATGTGTTGTAATAGATCAAACATTTTATTGGCATGTTTGGAGCAATGTAGTTTCAGATACACCAATATGTGTTTTCTGTGGCATTGAGTAAGTGCAGGGGCTTTTTGGAGTGCAATCCATTGGCTGCATCCTCTGTGTGTGACATGGGGAAGCCCCTAAGGGGACATGGGATGGAAGATGTTTTGCAAATGAAATTTGGCTGTCAGGGTTGGTAAAAGGCCAAGGATTAATGTTGCATCATTGCTTGTAGCTTCTTCATTTTTTAAATTTCTCTGTCTTCAGCCATAATATTACCCTGACTGATAGACTGAGTTTGATCTGTTGTTATGTTACAAATAACTGACTACTTCAGTGATTTCAGAGGCATGACCAGATGTCTTTTATTAGACAGCGTGGACGTGATAATTTTCCTTGTTTTGCATGAGGTTTATTCATGGGATTACTCTGCCATTTTTCATTTCATGTTATAATTTGATGTTAGCTATAAATTAAGGATGCACAGTCCTGCCGCAGCCACGTGAGTGCCAGAGGTGCAAGTAGGTTTCTTGTCTCAATCAGTGACTGACTTACTTGAAGATACTTCTGGCCTTTCTGTCTTCCTATCACAGCAGGAGGACTGATTGCTCAGCTTAGTGGGAGATGAGAGGAGATTCTGAAGATTTTCTTAGTGAATAACTCTTTAAGGTACATGTAAAAAGATGACCAAAAGGAAGGTCACCCGTTCAGCAATCATTATGTATCTTTAACTGTTTAGAACTTTATCTTAATCTGTTTCGAAATTTGTGTAGTTTGCAGATCTGACGTATTAGATTTAACCCTTGGTATTTTCATGTCTTTCATGCCAGCTCTGCCAGACAGGATTGGAACCAGCTCTGAGATGCCACTGCAAATATGTCTCAAAAAGAATTATTTCCAACTGGTGTATTTGCTGCTGACCAAAGGTGCAGATCCTCAAAATGTCTCCATGGCACAAGGAGATACTCCTTTGCATGCTGCACTTTCCATCTGTTTAAATAAAGGAGGTAAGGCTTTTGTGTGCCTGGGCCTGGGGGACACAAAGGACACTAGCAGATGTACACTGCTTGTTTTCACAACAGCTTTTGAAAACATCCCCATTTCTTGCCTGTTCAGGCCACTACCCCTTCTGCTGCTGTTTATTGATAGGATAGCAGCAGATCAGGTTGTTTGTATCTCAACCCCCAGAGTCTGCAAGCCAGAGAATACACATCAGTCTCTGTTAAGCTGATGTGTTCTACTGTGTGGTTCCTGTGGCTGGGACTATGAGGAGAGTTAATGGCAGCTCAGGTGACCAGGGAAATCAAGCAGCTGTACTGTCCCTGTCAATTACTGTTTTGTGAACATATTCTTGTTTAACCAAGCTGGTTTAGAAGGGAATGGTCTTCTTTGAAACCCTGTAAAATGTGAAATTGAAGTAAACAGGAATGATCTAGGAAGAAACAAAGGG